TTATGTGTGAACATGGCTGATTAGCCATTAGTCCATCGAGGTATATTATTGAAGAGGAAAGAGTAGGCAATTTTAGGTGAGATGGTGCTGAAGTAATAAGAGCCAGATGCCAGATACAGTTCATTTATAGAAATCCTCATGGTTCATTGGCCTAGAACGAGGAGAGAGACATATTTGTGGATGGGTTGATTGTGGCTTGATTATTAAGCTCTGGTTATCGGTTATGATAAGCATGATGACTGGAAATGATTTGACTTTATGTGATATGTATGATTAATAAACATATGTCCTGTATAATATCAATCACTTCAATTACCCCTGGAATCTAATGTGAGTTGAACTGTTTAATGTGTATGTAATATCAATAGGCTGATGTACTTGCTTAGATACATGGGATAATTAATTTATGATTACATATCATGTATTATGCATAAGAAGGTATATATACTTACATATGTGGAAGGGCACAAAATGCACAAAGTACACAGTAATGTTAGTTTTCAAGATGTCACTTTTAAATACTTACACAGTACTTAAAGACAGTGTTAATGTCCCATAAGCAAGTTGTTCAGGGAATCGTTGAAGTGGAATTTCAGCTTCGGGTGTTGATGGTGGGGCTGGAGCTTCTTCCTCGAGTCTTAGGGAAAAATGTTTTCCTTTTCTGGTTTAGAAGAACAAAGTAATAAATATACTACAAAGACTCTTCATTTTAGGAGGTTATTTTCAATAATGCTTTTAGTGGTATAAGGACTATAATTATGAGAAAGTATAGAATAGATGCTGTTTGTCCGATGATAATAAATGGGTGATCAATGGTTTGTCTTCCAATTCATGTTACTGTTAATAGGTCCCCTACAAGTACTCAGAATAAACGTTGGCTAAGAGGTCATAATGTTATACTTCATTGTTTCACTGTATGAAGTACTGGGACAATCAATCAAATTAGGAATGAGATGGTTAATACTAGTACACTTCCTATTTGTTGTGAATAGATCACAGAATTGCATATGAAAATAAGAAGTATTATTCTCGTTGGATGTGAGGGAGAGTGCTGAGGAGGTTAGGTGGAGTATAACTGTCTCTACCTAGAAGGTCAGGTGAGACTAGTACTAGTATTAGTAAGATTACAAATAGGAACAAGGCACCCAAGATATCCTTAATTGTGTAGTGTGGATAAAATGGGATTTTGTCCATATAGGATGAGATCCCTGTTGGATTATTAGAGCCTGTTTCATGAAGGAATAATAGGTGAAGAACTCCTAAAGCTGCAATAATGAATAGGAGGATAAAGTGGAACGTGAAGAATAGGGGAAGGGTGGCTTTATCACCTCCTAAGAGTCATTTGACTAGGTTAATGCCAGTGTAAGGAATTACTGAAAGGAGACTTGTCATGACTGATGTTCTTCAAAAGGATGCTGGACTATTACCTTAAATAGTAGGGTGATTCCGTTGTTTCATATTTCTAGGAAGGTGTAAGATCCATAACACAGGCCTCGCCCTACATGGATAAATAAGCAAACAAAGAACAAGAATAGGAAAGGTCCGTCTGCATATACATATCAGATAATTCATCCATAGTTTGCTTCGGTAGATATGAGTTATAGATGAGAAGGCAGTTACTGTATCTGATGTATTAATGTATTGTTAAGAATAACCCTGTTGGGCTTCCCTGGTGGTGCAGTGGTTAAGAATCCGCCTGCCAATGCAGGAGACACGGGTTCAAGCCCTGGTCTGGGAAGATCCCACATGCGGAGCAACTAAGTCTGTGCACCGCAACTACTGAGCCTGCGCTCTAGAGCCTGTGAGCCATAACTACTGAGCCCGTGTGCCACAATTACTGAAGCCTGTGCGCCCTAGAGCCTGTGCTCTGCAACAAGAGAAGCCACTGCAATGAGAAGCCTGCGCACCGCAACGAAGAGTAGCCCCTGCTCACCACAACTAGAGAAAGCCCACGCGCAGCAACGAAGACCCAACAGAGCCAAAAAATTCAAAAAATAACCCTGTCAAGATTTGTAAAATTAAATATAAAGCAGGGATGAAATTTTCATCATGAGCTATTTGATGGGGCTGGTAGATCATTATATGCATTATTAACAATTCTGATTAATGGGTGGGATTTTAAAATGTTGGTCATTAGTGTTTCTATAGCTGAAATACAATGATGATTTTTCAGATCATTGGCCATGATTACATTGCATTTAAGAATAATGATGACACATTGTATTTGTTTTGAGTACTATTTTGGTAGTTTTGTAGGTCTTCAAAACCTTCACAAATTTATGGTGGGCTTGGGTTAACTGGGTTAACTGAGTAGTTGTGATATTGTATTGAATTTTGGTGAATCGTTTTTGTGCTTAATGGTTTTTAAGATTTGTTTAAAGAGAATGTGAATAGTTTTTGGTTATACAACAGCTATGTCTACTAAGCAGTGTCCTGAGGTTTGAGAGTCTAATAAAACCCTCTTAGGTGTATTTCTTTAATGTTATGATGGACATGCAAATTAAAACCACAAAGTGGTATCTATTCACATATAATAAATGATTATAATCAAGAACAAACAAAAATGCTGGCAACAATGTAGAGAAACTGGAACCCTTACACATTGCTTGTGGAAATGTATAGTTTGGCATTTCCTCCAAAAAGGTAAAATACAATTAGAGTCTGGTTCAAGAGCTCAATGCCTAGATATATGCCACAAAGAATTTAAAACAGGAGTTCAGACAAAAACTTGTACATGAATATTCATAGCAGCATTGCTTACATTGGCCCAATGGTAGAAAAAATTCAAATATCCATCAGTGGATGAATGGATAAGCAAAAGAGGGTAGATCTATAAAAAGTTCCATATTATTCTGCCATACATAGAAATATAGCAAAATGGTGCCATCTGCTGTGGAAAAACAGTATGGCAGTTCATCAAAAACAAAGTATGATTCATCACTTCCACTTCAGGATATATACCCAAGAGGTTTGAAAGGAGGGAGTTAAACAGATATTTGTACACCCATATTCACAGCAGCATTACACTGGCCAAAAGGCACAAGCAACCCAAGTGTCCGTGGATAGATGAATTGATAAGCAAAATGTGATAATATACACAAAGGTACATTATTCAGCCTTAAAAACTAAGGAAATTCAGACACATGCTACAACATGTATGAGTCTTAAAGTCATTATGCTAAGTGAAATAACCCAGTCACAAAAGGACGAATATTATATGATCCCACTTCTATGAGGTATCCAGAGAAGTGAAATTCAGAGACAGAAAGTAGAATGTGGTTGACAAGGGTTGAAGGGAGTTAATGTTTAATGGATGCAGTTTCACTTGGAATAAAACAAGTACAGGAGATGGATGGTGAGGATATTTGTACAATAATATAAATGTGAATGTCACAGAACTATATATTTTAAATGGTTTAAGTGGTAAATGTTATGTTCGATATTTAATCACAATGGAAAATGTGAATGAAGTACTGATACAAGTTACAACATGTATGAACATTGAAAACATCCTAAGAGAAAGAAGCTATGCAGAAAAGGCCACCCAGATCATACTCATCTTGTGTGCTTTAAATCCATCAAGGCTGTGAAAATGAGGGGAAGTCTCAAGATTGCTTCCAGAAAAAGAAAACTGGGTCAGAATGGAAAAAGACATTTTCATGCTTTGGGGCAGGTGATGGAAGTGGAGCCAGTGGATTGGATTAGAAGGTGAAAACCATAATGATTTCTCATATGGGGGTTATAGGGGTGTTTCCTGGGAGAGTGTCCCTTTTTGGGGTGGAAACACAATGGAAACAGTCATTGAAATTGGCATATGTGGTAAAACAGTGATGACTGGGGAATCTGAACTTACAGATAAAGACTACATTGTACTGCTACTGCAAGTTTTCTGTACGTCTGAAGTTAGTAGAAAGTAAATAACTTTTCAAAACATGTCAACACCATGCCAGAAGAATAGATAAGACATCAAACTTCATGAGGAGGCCAAGCCCTACCCAGATTCATTTCACCCAAAATGGTTAAGCTGGTTAACTGCTCTTGTAGGAATCATATATTATTAAGAGGTGCTATGGGAAGATTATATTATTAGCAGTCACTGTGTCTTGGGGGTTGTGGATGACCTGGGATGTGGTAGAAACAAAGGGATTTTTGAATTACAATTTTCCACATCAAACCGCCAAAAGTTACAAGTAATACATGAATTTAGTAAAGGTGCATGATACAAAAGCAATACACAAAAATCATTTGAGTTTCTATACACTAATAAAGAAGTATCAGAAAGAAAAATTAAGAAAACGACCCCATTTACAGCTGCATCAAAAAGAACAAAATACCTAGGTATAGATTTAACCAATGATGTGAAAGACCTGCACAATGAAAACTGTAAGACACTAATAAAGAAACCGAAGAAGACACAAATAAAAATATTCGTGATCAGGCACTGGAAGAATATTCTTAAAACGTTCATCCTTCCAAAGCAGTGTACACATTCAATTCAATCTCTAACATAATGAAAGTGGCATTTTTCACAGAAACAGAACAAACAATTCTATATATCCTGTGTGGAACCAAAAAGGACCCCAAATAGCCAAAGCAATCCTAAGGAAGAGAACACAGCTGGAGTCAACTCGCCCCCCTGACTTCTAACTACACTGTGAAGCTACAGGAACCAAAAGCAAAACTTGGCATAAAAACAGGCACATGTACCAGAGGAACAGAACAGAGAACCCAGAAATACACCCACATGTATGTGGTCACTTAATTTATGACAAAGCTGCCAAGGACATACACTGGGGTAAAGTCCCCTCAATAAACTGATGCCAAAGAAACTAGATACCACACACCAAAGAAAGACACTGGAAACTGTCTACACTACACACAAAATGACCTGAAATCCACAGTTTTCCACATCAAGCCCATTGTCTGCTGGCTTCTCTGAAAATAGACCCCCTTTCAGCAGTCAGCCGCATACAGGAAGCTTCTCCCCACTTTTTCTTTACCTTTTACTCCTGTGGTGGTGCCTCCCAGCAGGTCCTGAAGACGCTGGCTCCTGTCTGCATGGACTAGTATGTCCAGAGGAGACCAACCTTCTGTCTGTGTTGACTCAGCCAGTCATTGTCCGGAAGCCAAAGCCCTGGAGAATCCTGAAAACACCAAGCCCCGGTCAGCTGCATGGAATCAAGTCCTCCGGCTGAACACTCACTAGCCTCGAAAGTCAGAGAGGTGGACTTGGCTCCACCTGCTGGCCAGTTTGGAAGTGCAAGCCTCAGCCACTTACCTTCCACTGGAGGCCCTGCTCTCAGCTGGCAGGTCTGATGAATCCACTAAATTTGAAAATTCAGACTCAAGTGGAGCCCCAAATCCCATGATAAGCCACAAACGGAAAGAAAAAGATTTGCAAAACACTTATAAAGGATTTGTACTCATTATATCAAGAACTATAGAACAAACAACTCCATTAGAAATGGGTAAAATCTGAATGGAGACCTGGCCAAAGTAGATAGTAAGTAAGCATACAAAAATATACTCAACATCATATATCATTAGGGACTTACAAATTAAAACAATGAGATAGCACTGCACAACTATTAAAACTGCTGAACTCAAAAAAAAAAAAGACACTACCAATTGATGGAGTGTGAGGAACAATGGGAACTATACATCACTGCCAATAAAATGGATATACAGCTACTCTGTAAGACATTTTGGAAGATTTTTCCAAAGCTAAACAAATCTCACCTAAAGAGCCAACATCCTGCCTCCAGTATTTAGACAACTGCTCTGCAGAACTAGGTCCAAACAAAAACGAGGATGCAATTGAGCATAGCATCTCTATTCAGAATGGCTAAAAACTTAAATCAGTATGCCCTTCAACAGATGAACATATAAGAAAACTGGGGTACATCCATGTTGGGGGAACAATATGCTACCCCAAAATATGCCTGTTTGGTGTAAGGATTATTTTGGCTTGATTGATTGTTTTTAAAAAAGACAATTTCTGAAAACCAAGTCAAGATTACACTTTTGTGAAGGAAATTTACATTTATAAGGGAAATCTCCATTTAAAAAGTTGTCTCCCTCTCTGTACCAGGAATAGACAGATGACTAAATCTCATGAAACACTTATCAGTAGAGAAGGCCGGGACTTAAATCTGCGTTTTCTTTTTTTTTAATTTTTTTTAATTTTTAAATTTTAATTTAATTAATTTATTTTTGGCTGCATTGGGTCTTCATTGCTGCACGCGGGCTTTCTCTAGTTGCAGCCAGCAGGGGCTACTCTTCGTCGTGGTGCTTCTCATTGTGGTGGCTTCTCTTGCTGCAGAGCACGGGCTCTAGGCTCACGGACTTCAGTAGTTGTGGCATGCGGGCTCAGTAGTTGTGGCTCACGGGCTCTAGAGCGCAGGCTCAGTAGTTGTGGCTCAAGGGCTTAGTTGTTCTGCAGCATGTGGGATTTTCCCGGACGAGGGCTCAAACCCGTGTCCCCTGCATTGGCAGTCGGATTCTTAACCACTAGGCCACCAGGGAAGCCCTTCTTTTGTTTTTAGGTGAAGATGGTATTTAAGGTGATGACTTAGGCCATTTCAGGGACTAACTTTTCCTGGGCATCGCCCATGCATATAGGAAGTACAAATGTTATTAAACTTCTCTTTGTTTTTCTGATGGTAATCTTTTATTACGGGGGCACTTCTCAACCAAGAACCTAGGAGGGTAGAGGGAAAATTATTTTTCCTCTCATACACATGCAATGGAATACTATTCAGACATAGAAAGGAATAAACCATCAACCTTTGCAAAAAACATGGATTAATCTTACGCGTATACAGTATTGCTAAGTGAAAAAATCCAGGAGGAGGTACACACTGTATGACCCCACTTATACGACATTCGGGAATAGGCAAAACAAAGATGGTAGGGCTTCCCACTGGTGGTGCAGTGGTTAAGAATCCGCCTGCCAATGCAGAGGTCACAGGTTCGAGCCCTGGTCCAGGAAAATCCCACATGCCACAGAGCAACTAAGCCTATGTGCCACAACTACTGAGCCTGCGCTCTAGAGCTTGTGAGCCACAACTACTGAAGCCTGTGCGCCTAGAGCCCGTGCTCCGCAACAAGAGAAGCCACTGCAATGAGAAACCCGTGCACTGCAATGAAGAGTAGCCCCTGCTCACTGCAACTAAAGAAAGCCTGCGCACAGCAATGAAGACCCAAAAATAAAATAAATTTATTTTAAAAAAAAAAGATGGTAAACAAGTTATGGTGTGGGGTTTGAAATGTTCTATATGGTACTTTGATGGATACTTGCCACTATGCATTAATCTAAACCCATGGGTTTTTACAACCCAACAAGTAAATCATAATCAAATTTATTTAGGATATGGGAGTGTCACAGGATGGAATACGGATGTGACAAAGAATCTAACTGATTTAGAAATGTACGAAAAAAACTCACTGTTGGTAGGGCAAAAGGTGCTGACTTAAGTAACTATGGAAATAAATGGACTCTGTAGAGCAAAGGCAAAATGTGCTATACATAAATACTGGACTCTGTAAGTTCTTTCCCATGGTGGTAATACCTAACAATAGTTACTACTACTATATCTCTAATCTAAAGGGAGCAAGCAATGAATTCAATGTAGGACAGGTGGTAGGCTGGCATCTTACATTTGGAATCGATAGTTACAGAAAAGCAAAGGCAGAAGGTTACAATAACCATGCAATAATGGATAGATTATATTTCCTCAATTTTAAAAACTTTTGTGCATCAAAAGATGATATCCAAAAAGTGAAAACACAGCCGGCAGAAAGGAAGAAAATATTTGCACATTGTATTATATCAGACAAGAATCTGTTCTTCAGAATATATCAAGAACGTTTACAAAACATCAACAAAAAGACAACACAAATTTTAAAATGGAAAATGACTTGAATAGACCTGTCCCCAGACAAGAAAAGCAAATAATCAACAAGCACGTGAAAAGGTGTAAAACATCAGTTGTTGTGCAGGAAATGCAAAGTAATACCATAATTCAGTACTCCTTCACACATACTAATGGTTATAATCAAAAAACAGAAATTAACAAATGTTAACACTGTAGAGAAAATGAAACCTAACATTGCTTGTGGAAATGGAAAATGGTGCAGCTCATGTGTACAGTAGTTTGGCATTTCCAATAAAAGATAAAAATACAATTATCATATGGTACAACAACGTCACTCCTATAGACCCCAAAAAATTGAAAACAGGTATTCAAAATGTTGGAGAGGATGTGGAGAAAAGGGAACCCTCCTACACTGTTGGTGGGAATGTAAGTTGGTGCAGCCACTATGGAGAACAGTATGGAGGTTCCTCAGAAAACTAAAAATAGAACTACCATATGATCCAACAAGCCCATTCCTGGGCATATATCCAGACAAAACTCTAATCCAAAAAGATACATGCACCCCTATGTTCACAGCAGCACTATTCACAACAGCCAAGACATGGAAACCACCTTAATGTCCATCGACAGATGAATGGGTAAAGAAGATGGGATACATATATACAACGGAATACTACTGAGCCATAAAAAAGAATGAAATAATGCCATTTACAGCGACATGGATGCAACTAGAGATTATCATACTAAGTGAAGTAAGTCAGAAAGACAAATACCATATGATATCACTTATATGTGGAATCTAAAATATGACCCAAATGAACCTATTTATGAAACAGACAGACATGGAGAACAGAGTTGTGGTTGCCAAGGGGGAGGGGGGTGGGGGAAGGATGGAGTGGGAGGTTGGGGTGAGCAGATGTAAGCTATTATATATAGAATGGATAAACAAGGTTCTACTGTATAGCACAGAGAACTATATTCAGTATCCTATGATAAACAATGGAAAAGTATTTAATATATATATGTATAACTGAATCACTGCTGTATAGTAGAAATTAACACATTGTAAATCAACTATACTTCAATAAAAAATAAATTAAAAAATAAAAACAGGTGTGCAAACAAAAACTTGTACACAAATATTCATAGCAGTGCAGTTCACAATAGCCAAAAGGTAGAAACAAGTAAAATGTCCTTCAAAGGGTGAATGGATAAATAAAATGGGTAAATCCATAAACTAACCTATACCATATAAAGGAATGAAGTAAAATGGTGGTGCCACTCTGGAAAACAATATGGTAGTTCCTCAAAAACTTAGACAATTAATATATGATCTGTCAATTCTACTTCAGTATATATACTCAAAATATTTGAAAGCAGAAACTGAAACAGACGTTTGTACAACCATATTCATAGCAGCATTATTCACAGTAGCCAAAAGGTGGCAGAAACCCAAGTACCCATCAACAGATGAATGAGTAAACAAAATATGGTATGAACGAATAAACACAATAGGACATGATTCAGCCTTTAAAACTAAAGTAATTCTCATACATGCCACAACATGGATGAACCTTGAAGTCACCATGCTGAGTGAAATAAGTCAGTCCAGAGAAGTCAAATTCAGAGACAAAAAGAATGTGGTTTCCAGGGGCTGAGGGCTGTGAGTGAATGGATACAGAGTTTCACTTGAGAAAAAATTTTTAAAGTTCTAGACATGGATGGTGAGGTTATTTGTACAACAGTATGAAGATAGCTAATGCCACAGAACTGTACACTTAAAATGTTTAAATGGTAAATGTCATGTCATGTATTTTTAATAACAGTGGGGAAAAATGAATTAAGTACTGATAAGTGTTACAACATGGATGAACACTGAAAACATCCGTACTGAAAAAAGCCATACAGAAAAGGCCACCCTGATCACATACTTGTCTTGTGTGCCTTAAATCCATTAAGGTTATAAAAATAAGGGAAAATCTAAGTAATCATTCCAAAAAAAAGAAAACCGGATCAGAATGGAAAAAGATACTTTCAAACATTTGGACAGCTGGTGAAAGTTAAACTGGGCTTATGGATTAAATTATAATGTGGGTACCATATAATTTCTTGACTTGGGGCTTATGTGCTGGTTCTCAGGGAGAGTATCCCTGTTTTGGGTAAAACACACTGGAGTATTTTGTGTGAAGTGGCAAATGTGAATACTTTTTACCTTTGTGGAAAATTTTCTGTATGTGTGAAATTACTAGAAATTACTTTTCAAAACAACCATGTCAATACCATGCCAGAAAAACAGAACACATTGAACTTCGTTATAAATGCCAAGACTTACTCAGATCCAGTTCAACGAAAGCTGTGATGTTAATTGGCCTTGTAGGAGTCCACATGTTATTAAGAGAGACCGTAAGAAGATTACACTAGGAGCCACCATGTCTTGAGTGTTATGGATGACCTGGGATACAGTAGAAACAGTGGGATTTTAGAATTACAACTTTCCACATCACTCCACAAAAAAAACTGTTGGAATAAAATTTAGTGAAGTTGCAGACTATAAAATCAATACACAAAAATCAGTTAAGTTTCTATGCACTAATAATGAACCACTAGAAAGAGACATTACGAAAATCCCATTTATAACTTCATCAGAAAGAACAAAATACCTAGGAATAAAATTAACCAAGGACATGAGAGACCTGTACTCAGAAAACTATCAAGCACTGATTTTAAAAATGGAAGACACAAATAAATAGAAAAATATTCTGTGCTCATGGATTGGAAGAATTACTATTACTAAAATGTCCATTCTACCCAAAGCCATCTACAGATTCAATGCAATCTTGATTAAATTTCCAGTTGCATTTTTCATAAAGCCAGAAATAATAATATTTGTATGGAACCACAAAGGATCCTGAATGGCCAAAGGGATTCTGAGAAAAAAGAAAACAGTTGGAGGCATCTCCCCCTCTGACTTCAAACTGTATCACAGAACTAAGGTAACCAAAACAGTGTGGAACTGTCACAAACACAGATACATGGAATAAAGGAACAGAATAGAGAGCCCAGCAATAAACCCACATATGTGTGGTTAGTTAATTCATGACAGTAGGGCCAAGAACATACAACAGGGAAAGGACAGTCCCCTGAAAAAATGGTATTGGGAAAACTGGACACTACTCTCCAAGTAATTAATTAGAAAACATGGAATGAAATGAATATAGACATAAACTTTACAACTTATACCCAAACTCACCCAAAATTGTCCACAAACTTAAATTAAAAAACTATAAAAATTCTAGAAGAAAACGGAAAAGAAATCTACATGACCTTGGGTGTGGAGATGACTTAACACACACCACCAAAAGCCTATCAACAAGAAAAAAGTTAATAATGTGGATTTTATAAAATTAGAAAAACCACAAATTGAGAGAAAAATATTTGCCAAGCACACAGCTAATAAAGGATTTATAATCAAATTTTCCCAAGAACCCTAGAACAAAAAACCTCATTAAAAATGGGCAAAGATCGGAACAGACTCCTGGCCAAAGAAGATATACAGAGTGTAAACAGGCATACAAGAATATACTCAACTTCATATACCATTAGGGAAATACAAATTAAAACAACAATGAGCTAGCACTGCACACCTATTTGAACTGCTAACTCCAAAAAATGACAATATCAACTGGGGGAAGAACAACAGGAACTTTCCTTCTCTGCTGGTGGAGTACAGGTACAATCACTCTGGAAGACAGTTTGGCAGTTTTTTCCAAAACTAAAAAAGTCTTAGCATAGGATAGAAAAATCAGACCTCTAGTATTTAGACAATTGCTTTGAAAAACTGTGTTCAAACAAAAACTACCATAAAATTATACACAAGTTCTATTCATAATGGCTAAAAGCTTAAAGATATTAGGATGTTCTTCTGTAGATGAACGCATAAGATTATTGGGGCACCTACATGTCAAGGGTAAGAGCATATGGACCCCCAAATATGCCTGTTTGATATAAGATTTTAGGCTGATTTTTTTTCAAAACTGCAAACATGGAACAATATAAACGCATTAGAAGTTGCTTTTTATGAGGTCGTTACAGGGTGGGATCTGAACCAAGAATAAAGAAGGGTGGAGGAAAATTTATTTTTCCTTTCCTATATATGCAATGGAATACAATTTAACAATAGAAAGATATGAACCACAAGCCCAAGCAAAGACAAAGATGACTCTATGTATATATTGCTAAGTGTGTCAACCAAAACAAAATAACATAATGCAGGAGACAACAAACAGGAAAAGAATTTATTTGGGGTCTTTAAGAATTGCTGTTTGGGAGACACAGATTCAGGTAACCCTGAAAGTGAAAGGTTCTTGCCTCGTCCCAGGCAGAATTCAGAGATGAGACAGGGAGGTCAAGAAAGTAAAGTGAGGATTTATTTAAGCTATAGTATGCTCTTGGGGAGAGCGGGCAGGCTCAGGTGAGTTAAGCTGCCCTGAGTTTTTTTGGCAAGCCCGTTACATGGGGTGTAATGTTCATTGGGGAGGGAGGGATTTAGGGGTCATATTCCCTGATTTTCACCCCAGTGCCACCTTCCCGGGGGGAGGAGGAATTTTTGTCCTTATTTAGCCTTGATCAGAAGTGCCATGGCTTCTGTGCATGATGGGTACTTCTTATCTGCAAGGCTAATTTTATTGTAATGAGAGCATAATGAGCAAAAGGTTACATTCGGACACCAGATTCCCGCCTTTTCCTACCTTTCTTTGCCTCCAGGACACTTATCCCAAAATGTATGGTTTCCTGCCAGTTGGGAGGTTCCAAGGACCCCACCCCACCCTCGCCTTTTACAAGACACATGGTTTCCTGCCATCTGGCCCATGCCCCCCCCCCTTTCTCTGCTCACATCTAGCTACCTTCCTGCTTTAACAAAAGAATTTCTGGGGAAGAGAAAGAGGGGCTTTTAAAAACAAAAAAGCAATGAGGTTGATAAAAGGTGCCTGCCAATAAATGCAACTGACTCTTGGAAGTCTGAAGATATTTGCCCTTAAAGAATTGCCAGTTGTTACAGGTAAAATAAGTTGATAGATTTTCATGGATTATTTTAGTGTAGGAGTCCAATAAGTATATAGACTGTCAGGAGTTCCTGGCAGATGTTCTGGATGATTCCAACAGATGAAAAACACCCCCATTTAATATGGAAAATACAAGCAGACCAATTAACCATCCTCTGACCCTTTCTCCTTGCTAGTTCTCTCCGTGTTCTGGGATTTCCCCCTCCTGGGACACAGAGGAAACAGGGACAGAGTTGTTTGGCAGCTCCCCTTAAATCTGACCCCACCCAGTGTCTTTATCTTCCCCAGACATGCCCCGCCCAATGAGGACACCATGCCAGAGGGAGTCTCAGGAATCAATGATCCTGATGTGGGCTTCCCTGGTAGCACAGTGGTTATGAATCTGCCTGCCAATGCAGGAGACACGGGTTCGAGCCCTGGTCTGGGAAGATCCCACATGCTGTGGAGCAACTAAGCCCATGTGCCACAACTACTGAGCCTGCGCTCTAGAGCCTGCAAGCCACAACTACTGAAGCCCAAGTGCCACAACTACTGAAGCCCGCACGCCTAGAGCCTGTGCTCCGCAACGAGAAGCCATTGCAATAAGTTCATGCACCACAATGAAGAGCAGCCCTCACTCACCGCAACTAAAGAAAGCCTGCATGTAACAATGAAGACCTAATGCAGCCAAAAGTAAATAAATAAAATTTTAAAAATGATCCTGATGTGTCAGGACTTATTTGATTACAAGGGACTAGACACGCTTACTCAAGTAAAATAAATATTTTAAATGACAGAAATTAATCCTTACAAGAGACAAGTTGAAAACTGGGTTCAGAGGTGTCAGGTCCAAGGGCTCACGTGCTTGTAGTGTGACCTGGTCCCTCTCCGACCATCAGCCTGCTGAGTGCCTTGTGGTCCCATTCACAGGCACAGTTTCTCTCACTGCATCCAGCAACTCCAAAATGACACAAGCTTAAAGTCCATACTGGGAATGGTTTCTCCTTCAGTAGGCTTCCTTGAAAACTCATGGCTTAGAATGCCTTTGGCCTGGCTTGGATAACATTCTCATCCTTGCACTGATCACAGCAATCAGAGGATGGAAGATGGGATCGGCCAGGTGGGTGGAATGTGGGGTCAGCCCTCTGAAACTATTTGGACTGGAAGCAGGTTAAGATGTAGCTTCCAAAGGAAAGCTGAGGTGCTGCACTTGGACATGAGGACAGATGCTGGCTCGGTGAAAGCAGCAGATTCCCTATCACTGACCACCCACTGCACAGCACAGAATCTGAAGCACAAGATAGAAAGGGATTCACTTAGGGTTAGGGGCTGCAGCCACCCATCTAATGTTCTTGCTATCCTTTCACGACAGCAAGAAGTTTTTCCATTTGCTGAAAAGCAAGGTTGATGATGATGGTAAACTCGAGGCTCCTGCCTTGGGCATCAGGTCCTTGCATAGCTCATGTGCCCTAGGAAGGCACACAGACCTCACTCTTGTTCCTGGGGGGTGGTAGCCCAGAATTCATGCCTGCCCCCCAGCCACATTAATCAACCACTCCCAAAGAACAAACATTGCTCATTTTTCCAGTCTCCTCTCTCCATGACAAAGAGCAGACACCAAATGCTAACGGTGGCAGAAAATTCTTGTTCAGTGACTTACTGGGAGGTTCGAGGATTATTCAGTACCATGGAATTAATAATTGGCAGGCTTTCCAAAGTCCACATGGGTGCACGTGGCTCTCCAACACCATTCAGCCACTGTGAAACTGCCCATTAGGAGGCCCAGCTGCTTCACGAGTATGAGTGATTAAGATCTTAATGAGTAGGACTGTCAAAAGTTTGTTAACAACTGGAAGGCGAAAGGATTGCCAGGCCACAGTCTGCCATCTGGTTGTTGTGCCAGGGCCACACTCACCATTTACAAGGTTATTAACTCTTGCCAAGTCTGGGATTCTAACTGGACTATCTTGGGTTATCTACTGACATCTGAACCAACAGCTATAGCTTGAGGGAAGGAACCTGCAGCTGAGCTGGGGCTGTGTCACAAATTCTACCCCTGAGTGGAAGACGGAATCCAAAAGGAAATTCAGTGTACTATTACCAGTAAAAGGGGGTAAAAAATTCTGGGAGGCCAAAACATCCAACATCCAGCACTGGCTTCTCTCCAGGGTGGATATGATCTAGCTGGGAAGAAGTCCTAAAGGTTTTTTCATACTTGACATATTCACAGGTTTTCTCTCTAGTATGGACTCTTTGATGCTGAAGCAGATTTCTTTTGCTAGTAAAGACTATTCCACACTCATCACACACATAGGAAGTCTCCTGAATATGGATTCTTAGATGCCTTTTTAATTGATCCTGAGCACTAAAGGCTTTTCCACAATCTACACAGTCAAAGGGTTTCACCTCACTGTGGACTCGCTGGTGCCGATTTAGTTTTGTATGAAAATTGAAGGCTTGCCCACATATTTTACAAGAATAAGGCTTTTCCCCTGTGTGAATACGCTGATGCTGACTAAGATGAGAAGTCCGTCCGAAGCTTTTGCCACACTCATTACACTCATAAGGTTTCTCTCCAGTGTGGATTTTCTGATGTCGCAGCAGTGGTGAATTACCAACAAAAGCTTTTCCACACTCATTACACTCATAGGGTTTCTCCCCAGTGTGAATCCTCTGGTGTATAACAAACTCAGAACTACTGGTGAAACCATTTCCACACTCCTTGCAGAGATAGGGTCTGTCCCCACTGTGGATTCTCTGATGCCTGATCAGATTTGCGTTATCATTAAAGGCTCTCCCACACTCTTCACACTGATAGGGTTTCTCTCCAGTGTGGATTCTCTGATGTCGAATTAATGAAGAATTGCCATTAAAGGCTTTTCCACACTCATTACACTCAAAGGGTTTCTCCCCAGTGTGGATTCTCTGGTGTCTAACATAGTAAGAAAAATAGCTGAAGCATTTCCCACATTCCTCACATCTGAAGGGTTTCCTATTATAGTGGATTCTTGGAACCTTTCCTCTAATGTTTTTCACTGTGGGGATTTCCTGGTGCTTCTCCAGTTCACATGTTTCTAGGAAGCTGTTTCTCTTAAGAACATTCTTCTGTGGCCCATGTGACATCATCATATCTCTTTCTTCAGAAACTCCCCATGTTGGTGTTAACTCATTGTCAGTGTTGGTCCCAGCATCTGACATAACAAACAGAAAACAAAAATGCCACCTGAGGATTATACTAGAAAACAAAAGAACACTGAAAATTATTGTCATCCCCCCCTTATCTGCAGTTTCCCTTTCTCTAGTTTCTGTTTCCTTGTCAACCATGGTCTGAAAATATTAAATGGAAAATTCCAGAAATAACGATTCTTCAGTTTTAAATTGTGCACTGTTCTGAGTAGCATGATGAAAACTAGAGCCATCCCACTGTGATCAGATGTAAATCATCCCTCTGTATATGCTACCTGCCTATTACTAAGTAGCTGATTCAGTTATCAGATTGACCATTGCGGTATTGCAGTGCTTGTGTTTAAGTAACCCCTATTTTACTTCATAATGGCCCCAAAGTGCAAGAGGAGTGATGCTGGCAATTTAGATATTCTCTTACTGTGCCTAATTTATAAATTAAACTTTATCATAGGTATGTATGTATAGAAAAAGACATGGCATATACACAGTCAGTCCTCTGTAACCACGAATGAAGAACCCGCAGTTACAGGAGGCCTACTGTACTATGCCATTTTATGTATGAGACTTGAGCATCTGCAGATTTTGGTATCCACAGGGGTCCTGGAGCCAATCCCCGACAGATACCCAGGAACAACTACATAGGGTTCAGTATTATCCACAGTTTCAGGCACCCACTGGGGGTCTTAGAATGTATGCCCCACAGATAAGGGGGGACTACTGGATAGAGATTTTAGAGATTACTAAAACTCCCAACATCAGCCTGCTATTGAGACAAGACTAATAAAACGAAAGTGCCAAACATTCAAAAGCAGAGAACAGTTGAGATGGAAAGTTGTTTATATATTTCAGATACTGGTCTCTGTCAGATTATATTATGCCAGAAATTGAAGTGGATCTTCTATTCCCTTCCTCCAGTCAGACTACCTTCCTTTTTTTCCCATCTGCAACCCATTCTTATCTGTTGAACTCAGAACAAATGGCCCTGCCACTGAAGGAGCATCACCTGAGCTTCTAAACTGAAATTACTCTAACCTCTCCTCCTGCTATGCTTCACAGCCCACTGCCTATATATCAACAACAGCACTTGACACACATTTTGCAGCTCTAAACATCTGTTTCCATAACTTATATCCTCCAGAGCTTCTAAATCAAAGCTTGGCACATGGCAAGTGCTCAAAAACTGCTCCTGAATAAATCTATCCCATCCAAGGAAGGAAGGCCTCTGAGACAGGCAATGATGAAACTCAGAAAGGAGCAATGGACACAAAAGTTAACTCAAAATGGATTAAAGACTTGAACATAAGTAAGACCTGAAACCATAAAACTCCTAGAAGAAAACATAGGCAGTATTAACCTCCTGACATAGGTCTAAGAGATGATCTTTTGAACCTGACAGAAAAAGCAAAAGCAACAAAAGCAAAAATAAACAAGTGGGACCACATTTAACTAAAAAGCTTCTGCACGGCAAAGGAAACCAACAAAATGAAAAGGCAACCTATGAACAGGAGAAAATATTTGCAAACCATATATCTGATAAGGGGTTAATATCCAAAATATATAAAGAAGTCATACAACTCAATAGCAAAAAACCCCCAAACAATTCAATTAAAAAATAAGAAGAGGCTTCCCTGGTGGCGCAGTGGTTGAGAGTCCACCTGCCGATGCAGGGGACACGGGTTCATGCCCCAGTCTGGGAAGATCCCACATGCTGCAGAGCGGCTAGGCCCATGAGCCATGGCCGCTGAGCCTGTGCGTCCGGAGCCTGTGCTCCGCAACGGGAGAGGCCACAACAGTGAGAGGACCGCATACCACAAAAAAAAAAAAAAACTAAGAAGATCTGAACAGACATTTTTCCAAAGAAGACAGACAGCCAACAGGCACGTGAAAAGATGCTCAACATCACTAATCATCAGGGAAATGCAAATCAAAACCAAAATGAGATATCACCTCACACTGATTAGAATGGCTATTATCAAAAAGACAAGAAATAAGGTATTGGCAAGGATGTGGAGAAAAGGGAACCCTTGTGCAATGTTGATGGAAGTGTAAACTGGTACACCCACCATGGAAAACAGTATGGAGGTTCCTCAAAAAATTAAGAAGAGGGGCTTCCCTGGTGGCGCAGTGGTCGAGAATCTGCCTGCCAATGCAGGGGACACGGGTTCGAGCCCTGGTCTGGGAGGATCCCACATGCCACGGAGCAACTAGGCCCGTGAGCCACAACTACTAAGCCTGCGCGTCTGGAGCTTGTGCTCTGCAACAAGAGAGGCCACGGCAGTGAGGGGCCTGCACACCACGATGAAGAGTGGCCCCCGCTGCCCGCAACTGGAGAAAGCCCTCGCAACAGAAACGAAGACCCAACACAGCCAAAAATAAATAAAGAAGCTTTAAAAAAAAAAAAAAATTAAAAAGAGAACTACCATGTGATCCAGGAATTCCAAAGAAAATGAAAACACTTGGTATTTAACCAAAGAATATGAAAACACTAACTAGAAAAGATATATGCACCCCTATGTTCATTGCAGCATTATTTATAATAGCCAAGATACTGAAGCAAGCTAAGTGTCCACTGATGGCTGAATGGATAAAGAAAATGTGATTGATACATACATACACACACACACATAAGAATGTTAATTCAGCCATAAAAAAAGAAGGAAATCTTGTGATTTGTGATAACGTCGATGGACCTCGAGAGCATTAGCTAAGTGAAATAAGTTAGACAAAGAAAAACAAATACAGTATAATCTCACTTATATCTAAAATCTAAAAAAAGGAAACCACACACACAAAAACAAATATACCAAGCTCACAGTTACAGAGAACAGGTTGGTGGTTGCTAGAGGCAGGGGTAGGGAGTGAGAGAAATAGGTAAATGTACAAACTTCCAGTTATAAAATAAGTCATGGGAATGTAATGTACAGCATGGTGACTAGAGTTAACAATACTGTACTGCATATTTGAAGGTTGCTGAGAGTAAATCAAAAGTTCTCACTGGAAGAAAAAAAAATTTTGTAATTATGTAAGGGGACGGTCGTTAACTAGACTTCTTGTGGTGATCATTAACGCAACATATACAAATATCAAATCATTATTTGTATACCTGAAACTAATTTGTTATATGTCAATTATACTTCAATAAAAAACATTTTTTTAATTAAAAAAGAAGAAAGGAGCAATAGATTCGAGAATTATGAGATGTGTTAATTGGACATATGTTAGGAAGAATTAAAATTGGTGGAAATGGTTTCATATTTTACCTATTTTGAGAAATCATCTGTTTTATTTAAATCCTTCCCAGCATGGTTCATTTTAAAATATACTGCTCTGTAAAGCTCTGTAGCTGCTGTTCCTAAACCTGCCTCACTTACTTTTACAGATGTGTTTGGTCCCCTGTGCAGGGGGATCATCCTGTGTCTCCAGGCCCCAAGGCAAATCCCCTCTCTCCAGAAGTGAGACCAATGCAGGTTTGGGAACTGGGTATCCTGAAAAGGGGTAGAAAATGGCACCTTTCAGTCCTGTGTCTGCTGTGTCAAAAGAAGGAAAAGCTCAGGAGTCTCAGTGATAATAAAAGAGATCCACAGAATAGGGCTCAGGACTGGGGAAAGCCAAGATTTTTGCTCAAGTGGAAACTGAGCATTTGTGACCTCTTCCTAAAACAACACGTAAGAGTACGTAAGTTAGTGATCCTGCAGGACATATGCAAACACAGGGAAGGGGTCATACCCTTCCCTAGACTATGGGGAGACAGCAACAAGCTGAGAACTTATCTGGCAATGGATGCTACTTATTCCTTACTGTGCAGAGCCCCTGGGAGGACAGATCATACTCTTACCAGGCGACAGCAATTCCCTATATTGAGACCAAACTGACCCAAGACTTGTCCCTACCCAGCAAGCTCTCAAGTGGGTCATTTGGTCTCAGTCCCAGAACCATCAGTAAAGGATACAAGAGATGACTCCTCCCTTTCCACACCACACCTCCGGCTGATAAGGAGGAAAAAAGGAAGGAAATGGGAAAGCATAGATCTGAGTCCCAGGAGAAAAGTGGCCTTACCCAGAGACGTCAAGTTCCCATAAATCTCCAGCATCACACTTCTGTACAGGGCCCTCTGTGCAGGAGAAAGGCCAGCCCATTCTGTCTGGGTGAAGTATACAGCCACGTCCTCAAAGGTCACCACCTCCTAAAACAAGAGGTTCCTGCTGCCCCAGAGCCAATTCTATGGCTCAGGGCCAGAGTGTGGGGTACAGGGGACAGTATGAGGGAGGGGTCTTATTAAGGATGAGTAATGAGAAAATGTGAAAGAAATGAGTGTTAAATGACTATTGCTACAACCAAAAATCTGGAACTTCTCTCACCACCAGAAGAGTTTCCATCTGAACACAAAATTTAGTGTCATAAAACACGACACATTTTGAAAACCCTGGAAAGTCTCCCATTAATTAATATTCCTAGAGCAAAATCTCTGTGATTTTATAAAACTTTGTCTTTTATTGTTGCAACTACAAGGAAACAATTAGCTTCAGTCTCTCCAGACACCACTCAGAGGTAGCATCTCAGGACTGACCTGTGCCCCCTTCACTGCCCCAAGTGCCCAGTCAATCCATCTGTTCCCCACACATGCTCATTCTACCCTAAACCTCAAGTCCACATGACAGGAACAGAGTCACATTTTTGCCTTGATGACTGGTCTCATCCAACCCTCATCTGTTGCTTGAAGAAGGGGTTGTACAGCCTGTGCTCAAGAATGTCCAGTAGAGACAGCTCAGTGCTGCCGGGGGCAGTCTATTCTGCTTCCTGATGCGTTTTCCTGGGAGAAGATGCTTCTGGAATCAAATTGCTGCTGGGTAGTTCTTTTAACTGCTTTTCTTTATACCTCCAAGACAATCTGTAATTGTTTCTGCCAACTAAGGCTCATGCTTTTTTAATAGTCACCCTTTCCCTTCCCTGATGGTCCCAACTCTACCTTCCCAGAGAGCTCAGGATCTGGTTTATAAAACTCTTATTCATTCCCCAGACTTTGGTATCAAACCTGGTTACCTGAATGCACAGTGAATATCCTGCCACCTTCCAACACCTCAACTGATTCTGCAGATCTCCCCAGCACTGCCTCAGACTCCCTGGGGGACCTAACACATCTGACCCATCTAACACCAAACACATCCCCCTTCCTGCCCCCTGCCAAACTGACTCTATTTTCAATTCACATAACTAACTGGCACAGTGACTGACAGTGTTGCTTCTCATTTAACAGTGCGAATTTCATCCCAGTCTCCTAAGTTAGAAAATTGAAATTCATACTAGACTAACTTGCCCTAGTCACTACTCATTTCCGATAAATAGTCAGTAATCAAATCCTGCCAATTTTATTGTCTATATGTTTCTGGAATCTGACTCCTCTTCACTATGGTACAATCAGTACAGTAGTATGGGCTGGGGATACTTAACTCCAATTCCAGGCCTGTCCTGTTCTGAATCCATCCTCAGCCAGCCATACAATCAACAACTTAAAATGACAAACTGACTCAGTCAACTGAATGACTTCCTTGAATAAGTCACCACTAACTACAACAGTGGTTCTCCAAGTGTGGTTCCCCAGAGCAGCAGCAGGATCACATAGGAACTTGTTGCAAAGGCAAATTCACAGGCCCCAATCCAAAAGCAATTTGTTCTTCCATAAGCCCTCCAGGTGATTCTGACGCACACCAAAGTCTGAGAACCCTGGACTACAGGATAAAATCCGAGCTCAGGAAACCAAGCTCTATCAGGTAACAGGTGGAGATGGGAAAGCACAAGACTGTACACAGAGAAACTATCTGGGAAACTCTGCAAACAAAATCCCAGAAAAGGAATGACAAACCCTGTATGAGGGCAATATAAAAGATGGGACAAGTGGAAGAGATAGTAGGCAGAAGCAATGAGACTTGGTAACTCTCTGAAAGTGGTATCAAGGAAGAAGAGAGTCAACAATTACTCAGCAACCTAGAAACTGAGTGGTCAGGATTGCGACATGGTGATACCAGTAACTCACTAACAACTTACAGAAGATCAGAAGAGGACGGGAGCAACAAGAAAGATAACTGTCTTGGTGAGGCAGTAGGCAGAAGGACCTGCCAGATACCAGAAATCCAGGATTGGGACTTAGGATATAGTTCATAGATGATAAGTTACTGGATAAATAAGTCCCAGGAAGAAGGAAATGGTTAAGGAATACCCAGCAACTCATCAGTTTCAAAAAGTAAAATCAACTCAAGAAATCAATTTCCCTGTCCCACAAATGTAAGGTACTTAATGTTCACCTCACAGATGAAGTTAAGGTGCAAAGAGGTTAAGTGACTGGCTCAAGGCCACAAAGCCACTGAGGCTTTATGAGATCCCTCACTTCAGGTGTTCTGTCCTAGTGCAGATTATTCCTATTATAGCCCCCTGCCTTGATTAGCCAACAGCACTGACCTCAAGGAAAATATATTTTCCCTGATTCTGAAGCCAACTTCTTCTTTTTTTTTTTTTTTTTGCGATACGTTGCCTTTTCTCTTTTTTGCCCCCTCCCGTTACGGAGCACAGGCTCCGGACACGCAGGCTCAGCGGCCATGGCTCACAGGCCCAGCCGCTCCGCAGCATGTGGGATCTTCCCGGACCGGGCCACGAACCCGTGTCCCCTGCATGGGCAGGCGCACTCTCAACCACTGCGCCACCAAGGAAGCCCTCAACTTCTTTAATAAATGGGACAAGCCCACTTTTTCTTGTCTTCTTCCTGCCATCGCTCTGCCCCTACTTCCCAAGAACCTTGTGACCTCGCTAATCTCGATTACTCTCACTGTGTAATCAATACCTACAGCACCAGCCTGAGTCCTTCATTCTCACAGGTCCCTCTGTAGGAGGAACCACTGAACCTGGGAACCATCTAGCTCAACAGAGATCCTCAGAGTACAGGAGCCTAGGCTTCTGCTGCCAAGGACACTCTCTCCAGCATCACTTGCTGGGCTTCTGGCTGTTCGATCCCTCATCATCAGCTTTCCCTGGCGTCCAGTCCCACTGAAGAGAATCAACAAGGGTCTTCCTACTGCTTTGGCTCTAAGACTTTTGCCAGAATCATCTCTCTCATCCCCCATTTCCTTCAAATCAGATCTCTCCAAGGCTGACCTGAGGGAATCACAGCTCACCTGGTGCCAGGCTCTCAGGGGCATGACAGCCATCACCTGGGCTTCCTCTCAATGAAGGGCAGGGGCTGAGGGAAGAAGCAAAGAGAAACAAGAGTGAGCCCAACCCAGACAAAGGCTCTCCTTTAAAACAACAAACTTGCCGGTAACAGTAGCAATCATTTACTAAACGCCACTTGGTAAGTGGTGTATGAATATTTCCTCTTTTAATCCACACGATGCCATGAAGTTTGAATTCTGAGGAAATGGAGAATTTGAAAGGTAAGTAACTTGCCCTCAGCACCACAGGCTGTACTCACCAACATCATGCAACGCTGCCTGTCCTAAGAGATGAGTAGAGGGGAACATGAATACACAAAGAGCAGAACAAGCAAAAGACACCAGAAAGCTCAGAGCAAACCCTAACAAGAGGAAATCCAGACCTTCATTTTTTAAAATAAAAGTTTACTGAGAAACATAAAAAGTAAAAAAAAAAATAGAAACGTGTTTCTGGAGGAAAAATACATATTGCCTCATTCAATCTCCACAATAATCCTTTGAACCTTTTCTTTTTTCCAAATAAGAAAACAAGTCTAAGACAATAATTTTCTCTACCAAGGTCAGTCACCCAGTGGATGAATGAACTTGGATTCCCAAACCAGATAAGCCAGATTCCAGAAGCCAAGCGTTTAATAACTACATCCAAGTGCTTCCAATAGTAATTCCAACAGGATATTTTTCTTTTTTAAAACTTGATAAAGTGCTTCTAAGGTTAATATGGAAAAATAGGTAAAAGTAGCCCCCCCAAAATCAGAAAAAGAATCTTAGAGTAAGGTTTCCTTTTCTTGGACCTTGGGGCAGGCATCTTTTTTGATCATCACCCCACTCTACACCCAGTAATAACCAGAAACAAATTAGCAAAGGACCCTGAAGAGGCCACAAAACATGCCAAAAGGTCTGGGTTATTACTTTAATTATATCATCCCCTACAGACACTTTGTATTCTTGTTAACCAGTCATATTCTACCAAAAAGCCAGCATCTTCCAAAACTCATTGCATGCTGCAATTTCCTGCTAGCCTCATCTTCTTTCAGTTTATCTACTATGCTAATTCAGGATCTTTGTACCTACTGTTCCTCTGCATGAACCACTCTTCTCCAACCTTAGAACCTTTGGAACTGACAGTCTGTGTGTGCAATACTCTCCAGCAGCCTGACCTCTCTTCATCTACGTAAGTGCCTGCTCACCCTTCAGATCACGCCTGTCTCCACAGATCAGGTCGGGGGCCCTGGGTTACACACTCCACTAGCACTGTATTCCCTTTCTTGTATACCACCTCTCCCAGTTTGAGATAATACACTGATGTATGTTTTCTTCATCCCACAAACATTTATCACATATTTATTTCATTCCAGGCCAAGCATGAGACACAGGAGATAACAGTGGAGAGAGAAAGGTTTGATCTCTTCCATCACGGAGCTTAGACTAAAGAAATCAAAGATTCTCATAGTTAGCTTTAAGACCACAATCGTGATTAGTGCCAGGGAGAATTTATCCTAGATGGGGAGGCTTAAGAATAGGAATTAACTAGGTTGAAAGAAAAATCTTTCCGAAAGTAACAGCATGTGCAAAAACATGTTCCCGATATGAAAGTCCAAGAAGACTGTAGCAGAGCCAAGGGAAGTGTGCTGAACACGAAGGTGAAGTTGCAAGAGGCCAAGTCCCCCATGGCCTCTGCACGTCAAGGACTTCGTCTTCATCCTAAAAGCAACAGGCCGCAACTACAGGGTTCAGAGCAGGTGGAATGAAATGATCGCACTGGATTAACAGGAGGCTTTCCATTAAACTGAAAGCTCCCTGGGGGAGGGGCCCACGGCCGTCTCATTCGCAGCTACATCCTGGGAACCTACAAGAGCAGCTGGCATTTAGCTGCTCAGTAAGTAGTTGTTGGACCAGGGAGCAGGGGAGGCTGTGGCTGTGTCGGGTCAAAGGGCGTCTCCTTTCCATACCCAGCCTCCATTTCCTAAGGCAGCCGCAGCGGGCTGGGGAAAAGGCGCCAGGGCGGGCTGGACTGCCCGGCGGGCGCCCCCGCTCCCCGGATCCGGTGGCGCCGCCCGACTCCCTCCTCCTCGGCATCAGGGACTAAGGGGACAGCCTCCTCCAGGGGAGTAAAGAGCGTGGCCCGGGCCACAAACCCCCCACACTCACCTCAGGAAAGGTGCAATGTGCGGCGTGATCGGAAGTGCGTCACTACGTCGGCTTCGCGACGCCGTCGGCTTGGGCGACGCCCAAGCTTCACGAGCTTCCTCTCTAGGAAGCCAGAACGCTCCTCTCTGTGGACTCTGGCTTTCTTCCCCTGGCGCACGTCTTTAACCACGGACCTAGAATAGAAAAAGCTTATCCTTGTTTAAGCTAACCTCTAGCTGAAACTTAGCATTTCCTTCAATTATATGTTAGCAAAAACCACAGTAGTATCAGCAGTGCCTTGCGACTTTGTCAACAATAGAAATCATAGATGTTTTCATATCACATTGCAATTGATGAAGTTATAGTGGAACTTAAGTATCATGCACGGTCTTTTTTGCCTTGGCTGACAAAAAATGTAAAGTTAACCTAATGTTTTGTTGCAGTACCTATATTGACTATATTTGATGTGATTATCTCCTTGCTGCTGAAACCATACTTAATGGTGAGAGAACGCCTTCCCTGTAAAGTTGGCAACAAGGCAGGTATGTCCGCTCTTCCCACTACTATTCAACATCCTCCTGGGAGTCCTAGCAAGTGCAAGAAGGCCAGAAAAAGAAATAAAAGGCATAGAGATTGGAAATAAAGAAATAAAACGGTTACTATTTGCAGAGGACGTGATTGTCTACACAAAAAAATCCCAAAGAATCTACAGAACTTCTAGAACTAACAAGTGAGTTTACCAAGGTTGAAACAGGAGGGAAGGGGCCAGGGTACAACCTTCAAAGGAATGACAGCTGTTGAGGATACGACATAAACTGGTTAGAACCAACTAGGTCTGGACTTCCCTGACCGGCCAGTGGTTGAGACTCTATGCCCCCATTGCAGGGGGCACGGGTTCGACCCCTAGTGGGGGAGCTAAGATTGCGCATGCCTCACAGAGTGGGAAGGAAGAAAAAAAAAAAACAAAAAAACTCCAACTAGGTCCAAGATAGCAGAAGATTCAACTTCCCGTAAACCTTGAGTCTCATTATACGCTCATTATAACACACTGCCATATGCTAATGACACACCCACAGGTGCCATGACAGTTCCAAGGCTAACCCTAAAAGGCCAAAAAGTGAGCAGTGGCCCAACTCCTGGAAATCCCCACACCCTTCTCCAAGATAGTTGAAATAATCCTCCCAGTCATTAGCCTATGAAATTACCCAGCCCATAAAAACTAACCACCCCATATTTCAGGGCCTCTCGCCTGCTGAGATGGCCCATACTCTCTCTGTGGAGTGTGTATTTCTCTCAATAAATCTACTTCACCTCTCGCTGAATTCCTTCCGCGCAGAGACATAAAGAACCTAAACTTCAGTAGGTCCTGAGACCAGCTGTGTGATTTTTATTAAAAGACAGTGGGTCAAGTCCCAAACTGAGTTGTGTGGCTTCAAGGTCACAGAGTTAAAGTAAAGGTGCAAAAAAGATCAATTGTTGTAAACCAAAATTTCCAGCAATAAAATTTCCTGCAACCTTAATAAATTTTAAAAAATAGTACCATTTACAACAGCATAAAAAACATGAAATACTTAATGCCTAACAAAATATGTACAAGATATGCATGCTGAAACTATAATCACAAAAGAGATGAATGTATACCTAATAAATTGAGATACTGTGTTCATTGATTGAAAAACTCAGTATTATTAAGATGTCAGTTATCCCCCAAATTGCTCTATATATTCAAAGCAAGCCAATCAAAATCCCAGCAAGACCTTTGTAGAAATCAATAAGCTGATTAAATTGCATGTCAATCATTTAACAGAGCTGAAAAAAAGCAGTGGAGAAAGGAGGGATTTTTCAATAAATTATGCTGGAACATTTGGATATCCCAATAGAAAAATAAGATTCTTACTTCACACCATCACTAAAATAAATTCCAGGTGGACGAAAAATCTAATTGCAACAAATCTACATCTTTGATGAGAAAGTATGAGCAGTATGATTTCTACAGATGTGTTAATACTGTCTGCCCACACATCTGATGCCTGAACTCTGTAATGGATACCTCAACATGGGGCTGCTCAAGCTACAGTCCAGCATCCCTGGCAGATGGACGTGGTGTCTTCAGAGGCATCTCGCATGGCCTCCCTGTACATGTTTGTACCCACTTGACACCAACCTTGCCATAATGCCCAGTGGCACTGATTACCTCTTCATGTCCTGTGTTGTCTTCTATGACTGCCCCTCCTGCCCTTCTGTAAGCCAAGGAGAAAGGCCTCAGGAGAAATCAAACCTGCTAACACCTTGATTTTGAACTTCCAGCCTCCAGAATTGTGAGAAAGTAAATCTCCGTAGTTTAAGCCTCACAGTCTGTGGTAGTTGTTACGGCAGTACGTGCAAACTAGTTTAGACATATAAAGTTAAGATATGCTGGCAGTGTTAGAGGCTGCTAGTTGCCTGTACAAACATCTATTTGTCCCTCTTATTTAGAAACAGAAAAGTTCATCAGGGGTTGGCACCTTATCTCTCATCCAAGGACAGCTCTTGCCATCCTTGTGAGTCTGTGGCTCTCCCAGGACTAAGTTCTGCACGGCGAAGTGGAAGTGGAAGTGTTCTCAGCACTTACAGGATATTTCCTTGAAAGGAAGGCGACATGCTCTTCTTCTTTTCCTCCATCCTGCATCCTGGAATGGCTGGAGCTCGAGCTGTTGCTTTAGACTATGAGGATATTGCCCCATCTGATGGATGGCAGTGTGGTGAACTGGAAGGAGGCAGGATTCCCGCTGCCAGTGTGCAGCTGCCTATCTCCAGATCTCTTTTATTTTTTTATATATATTTTAAAATTAACTTATTTATTTATTCATTTATTTTTGGCTGCCTTGGGACTTCGTTGCTGCGTGCTGGCTTTCTCTAGTTGAGGCGAGCGGGGACTACTCTTCATTGCAGTGCCCGGGCTTCTTACGGCGGTGGCTTCTCTTGTTGCAGAGCACAGGCTCTAGGCGTGTGGGCTTCAGTAGTTGTGGCACGTGTGCTCAATAGTTGTGGTGCACGGGCTTAGTTGCTCCGCGGCATGTGGGATCTTCCCAGACCAGGGCTCGAATCCGTGTCCCCTGCATTGGCAGGCAGATTCCCAACCACTGCACCACCAGGGAAGTCCCCAGATCTCTTTTTAAAAAAGGAAAAATCAACTCCATTCTTATTTTAAGCTCTATTATTTTGGATTTTCAATTATGTGCACTTGAACCTAACCAAGCCTGATCCAAAGACAGTAAGTCAGTTAGAGGGGGACTTCAGCAGTGGCACCTAGGTCACATATCATGGATAATCTGCTAGATACTCAAGTTCAGGAAGATGGAGCTACTCCGTTACCTTAGAGATAAGAGACACCTTGGGGGTCCAGCTCTCTGGCTCAGGCACTTACTATGAAGGTACTACTTTCAAATAGTTGTAGCAACAGAAATGCCAGTGCCACGCAGCCACTAAGCCTTACTGGGGAATCTAGGACGAGGTCCTCTGCCTCCTAGAGCTGTATTTTCAACTTCTGCACATGCTACCTCCCTGACAACAGCAGTTTTGAGACTGTCAAACACAATGAGCCACTCTGTACTAGATATGCCTCGCTGTTTTATCTCAACCCATTCACTGCCCTCTTTTCTCCAAAGCCAATATACAGCCTCCCTTTGCCTTGATCTGATCCCCAGTGTCTTCCACTCACAAAGAGCATAGCAAAGTCACCTCAAATGTGTCTTTTCGGTCACTGAATTACATTTGTTACAGATCTTGCTTGCAGACTTTAGGGCATCACTCCGTGACAGTTAGAGCATGGGCTCTGAAGCCAGACTGCCTGGGTTTGAATCTCTGCTCTTCCAGTTACTAGCTGTATCTTTGGGCAACCTACTTAACCTCTCTGTTCCTCACTTTCCTAACTGAAACAAGATAACAGTACTTCAAAGGCTGTTAGGAGTTAGTAAGTTAATGCATTGTGGAGCACCTAGCAGAGATAAGTGCCACAAAATGTTACTGGTTAGTAGCATTTATTAAAGAACAGCTATGGCAAATTAAAGGCTAGTATTCTGTTGGGGAAGCAACAACAGGAACTAACAAACCTCAACTCAAGTGACTTCAACCATTTCTTTATCTGAATCACTTTGGTTTCGGCAGAATTATAAGTCCACTACTAAAAATGATTCCCCTCCCCAGGCAGGGGTAGATTGCTGTCAAGTAAAGAGGAAGTGGTGAAGTCATTCTCTCAGGGCCAGATTTCAGTCAACAGGTTAAATCTGGAACTGAAAAACTGCCAGGACAGTAGATGACAGTACAAGGTGGCATGGGAAGTAACAAGGCACAGGTTGATGGGCATCCAAAGAAGAGAACCACCTCCTTATTTTTACAAAAACATATCCTCAGTATCTCTTTATACCAGTGGAAACAATTTTGATTGTTATGAATGAGGGTAGGGGAGAACATCACAAATAGTATCTAGTGGGTAGAGGCCAGTGGGTAGGCTAAACATCCTACAACTCACAGGACAGTGTCCAGCAAAAAATTAACAGGTCCTAAACGTCAATAGTGCTGCGTTTGTAAAATCCTGCTTCAGACTGAGAACCAAAGCCATTTCCTTGGGTGTAAAAGCCCCCTAACCAGATCAAAGGGCAGGGCAAACATGCTATGCTGGGCATTATATGATAATATCAAGCTTTTGCACGGAAATAGGAGTAATAAAAATCTTCCTATAGACAAACAAACAGGAATGACAAGGGGCATATTTGAAAATATTTTTTAAAATAAGAAAAATAACTTGGGTACAATGCTAAGCTAATGATTTATAAATGTCAGTGGGAAATTATACGTTACCAACATTGATTCAAGAAGAAATAGACAATGTAATGGACAATGCCAGGGAAGGAATTACTAAAGTAGTGAAAGTTCTACTCTGCTCTACACTACCCCCAACAAAAGCAACTGGTCCAGGCAGCTTTACAGGTGAACTTTTTTCAAATCTCCAAAGAACAGATAATTGCTAGGCTTTTGAAACTGTTCCAAAGCACAGAGAAAGAATAGTCTCCTAACTATTTTTAGCAACGTGGTATAATTCAGGTCCCAAATCTTGACAAAGAGTGAAAAAAATTACAGGCCAATCACACTTATGAATATAGATGCTAATATCCTAAACATATTAATATAATCCAGCAACATTTAAAGAAACTTA